GACCAACCAGTCATTCCTTTTCTCTCTCTCATCTCCAGGTCAACGGGAGTCAATGGACTGTGGTTGAACTCAGACCATTTCTTCATTACTGCCTTTCCCCTCTTCCACTCACCAGTAGACCAATGTGGTTGCCAAAAAGCTTACATGACTGCTCATGTGTTCCCTTTGAGTTTCAGTCTTAGAGGTGGGGTTGTCCTGAAAGGACTTGATTGCTTTCCTTGATGGATTCCCAGTGAACACCTTGCTTGTTCTTGTAGTAGTCAATCATACTGACATTTTTGTTTGGGGTTTTTCCTGATGATCTTCTTTGAAGATGTATCTTCTGTTGCTCTAGTTGTTCCAGGCTGGTCTGCTTGTCCTTTCTAATGGGGATGTCCCACCTCAGAAGGTTCTGGATGGGAGTATGCTTTTCTTTATGCTGAGGAATTTCCTTTCTATTGTTATTTTGCTGAGATTTTTTTTTTTTTTTAACCAAGAATGGGTGTTAGATTTTATCAAATGCCTTCTCTTCGTTGATTAAGATGGTCATGTGATTCTTTTCCTTTGTTTTATTAGGGAGTCTTCTGAGTGTAATTTATCTTTTAGTCATGTCATAGGTCAGTGGGCAGCCCATGAATTAGCTACCTGTCATATATATCTTCTCCTGCCGCTGGGGGAACGCAAGGAAAAAGGACAGTTCTGTGTACAAAATATGAATGAATATAGCTACCTCCTTCATCAAGAGCAGTGGACAGAACCGCATTTTATTGAACGTGGACAGAGAAGACATTGTTTTCTGGAAACATGTCTGGAAAACACATCAAAGAATGTCACTTCTATAAAAGATTTCACTTTTTTTTATTGAAAGAGATTAAGGTTTCCTCAACCCCATTATTTCCCCCAGGGACTCACTTCTTTTTCTATCTTTTTATTGTAAATTGGGTAAGGGTCTACAGAGCAAATCAGTTTTCCATTCAACATTTCAGACACACTTTGTTTGATTGCAATCTCCACAATGTAATGTCACTTCTCACTTTCTCCCTGTGTTTCCTCTTTCCATTCCTCCTTTCTTAAGCCTTCCTTTGTCCTTGAGTAAATAAATATTGCCCTTTTAATCTCAAATGGTTTGCCTCTCTATTGTTATTGTTTAGAACTGTCTAATATTTGGCTAAAAATTGAGCCATGAATGTGGGTTCATTTCTAGGCCTAAAGGAAGACTAAGGACCATAGTCTTGTGGGTTCCACTCTCTCAATTTTACCCATAAGTCTGGTTTTTATTGTGATTTTGAGTTTTGGTCTATATTTCCCCCCACTTTATGTAGGACCTTTTAATGTGATCCTTGTCAGAGTGGTCAGAAGTGGTAGCTGGGCTCTACCTAGTTCTTCTGGTCTCAGGGTTGTGGAGGCTGAGGTCTCCAAGGGACTCATGGCTTCTTGCAGGTCCTAAACTTCCTTGTAATGCACTGACAAGACTCTGCAGACCCCAAATACTTCTTGTCCCTAATGAATACAGACTGAACCTTTCCTACATCTCCTCCAAACTATCACTTCTTAAGTCATGGCTAGTTACTGCCTGTAGATTAAAGCAGAAAGCAAAGAGCATGTCACCATTTGACTCTGATTCATGAGATATGATATTTTTCATGAGATATGATATTATTCCAGGGAAGTTCAAACATTGATGAAGAATTCATCCTGAAACAGTTTGACGTTGACTATGAGAACAAATCAAGCTATGATGAGCTTCACACGATGAGACAAAATCAGGTTCCTGTGGAACTAAGGTGTAGTGTGGGACCAAATAAACCACAGGAGCTAGATTTCTCCTTCCAGGAACTAGACTCCAAGAGGAAATTCCAGAAACCACAGGTAATTACAGAAGGGGGAAGATCAATGAAAATTAAGTCATACTAAAGTCTTGAGTGTGCTTGATTTCTGGTGCTGGTCTTTTAAAATGGAATTCTTAAGTTTTTACAAGTCTCATTGAACACAAACCATCACTCTTGACCATATACTTTTTTTAAAAAAACCTGATCATTCATTAACCAATTACTTAATTACTTAATTTCCATATTAATGAATTGCCTTGAAGACAGAAGACTACAGTAGCAGGAAGGAAAAAAAAAAAAATCTCTGTTCTAATGGGCCCCTATGATTTTACTTTTCTACACAATGTGTTACTGCAAATATTGTCTATATGTATGTGATGTATTATTATTAGTTGCCATCAAGTTAGCTTTCACTCATGGTAACCCCATGTGCCACAGAACAAAACATTGTCCAGTCCAGTTGTGTGCTAACTTCGTGAACCTTGTTATGATTGAGCCCATTGTTGAGGCCACTGTGTATTATTTTATGTACCTTCCAACATAGGAGGCTGCCTCATCTTCCAGCATCATATTGAACAACTTTCTGTTGATTGGCTCATTTTCAGAAGTAGATTGCCCAGCTTTTCTTCCTAGTCCATCTTAGTCTTAAAGGTCTGCTGAAACCTGTCCACCATGAGTGACCCTCCTGATATTAGAAATATCAGTGGGATAATAGCTTTCTGCAGCATAGCAATGCACAAGTTATCAAAGTATTACAAACTGAGATAGTAGCTTTCTGCAGAATAGCAATGCACAAGTTATCAAAGTATAACAAACTGACAGAAGGGTGGTGGCAAAATAAAGCCCTGGTGGCACTGTGGGTTAGACATTGGGTTGCTAATTGCAACACTGGAGGTTCAAACTCACTAGTCACTCTGCGGGAGAAAGATGAGACTGTCTGCTCCCAAAAAGATTTAAATTCTCAGAAACCCTATATAGGTTGCTATGAGTCAGAATCAACTTGATAGAAGTGGGTTTGCTTTTTAAAAATTTGTTTTGGTATATATATATATGGGGCACAATTCAAAATGAGGAGAAATAGCTGGAAACATCCATTAATAATTGGAACAAGGGATGTACAAAGTATGAGTCCAGGAAAACTGGAAGTTATCAGAAATTAGATTGAATGTATAAAGACTGATATAATGAGAATTAGTGAGCTGAAATGGACTTTATATTAATATATATATTGTTGTTGTTAAATGCTGTCAAGTTAGTTCCAATCCATAGTAGAACCAACTTCTATATATATATAAGTCCTGGTGTAGTGCTGTGGGCTAATGCGCCAAACTGCAAAGCCATTTGAACTGCAAGGTCAGTGGTTCAAGTTCACCAGCTGTTCCTCAGAAACCCTATACAGGGTTGCTATGGGTCAGAACCAACTCGACGGCACTTCACAACAACAACAGCATATATATAAAACTGCTGGTCAATTTGAACTGCCAACCTTGTGGCTAGCAAGATTAGTAGACCAGTGCTTATCCTACAGCATCGCACCAGGGCTTTTACACAAATGTGTCATCTGGTTGGTTCCAATTCATAGCGACTCTATATAGGGTATCCAAGGAACAGCTGCTGAGTTTGAATGTCAAACCTTGAGGTTAGCAGTTCAGTGCTTATCCTACAGAGGCATACTAGGACTCCACATTTATATGTTGCGGTTGTAAAGGGACTTAGAGTCAGTTTTGAATCATAGGGTCTCTGAGCTTTAAATCCTTTACAGGAGCAGAGTCTCATCTTGGCGTGGCTGGTGGGCTCGAACCACTGATTTTGTGGTTCACAATCCAGTGTTTATCTTATAGAGCCATATATGTATATATTACATACATATGTTGTTGTTAAATGCCATCGAGTCAGGTCCGACTCAAAGCGACACTGTATAGGGTTTCCAGGAGCATCTGATGAGTTTGAACCACCAACCTTTTGGTTCAAATATATATACATATGTGCATATATATATATACACACATACATGCACACAAATCAAATAATGTAAGTCAAGCAACAGTCCTGAGTGTCTAAGTAAGAGGGAGAGTTAGTCAAGAGTTTCTTTCTTTGAAAGTGAAAAACAGTTACATTATCTCCAGTGACTTCATGCCTTTACATATCATCTTTGATATTACCTCTTCAATACTTTGGACATATTCATCACAATTTATAAATTATAAAACAGAATTTATAATTGAACACCACTGATTATCTATTTTGACATGTATCATGCTTTCCATCTTGGATGCTGTTTTATAGGATTATGAAAAGTGCATTCCATCACTGATATCAGTTAGCACTTGAAGTTTTTCACTTTCCCCTCATCTTTCTATAGAGTAAAATACAAAACGCTGATTAACAGACAAATTCTGTTCATCACAATTCAGATCAGAACCATGGTTTATCCTGAATCTGGGTTGAATCAAATTGCTCAATTCCTTGTACTTACAAATAATTGCACAAACACTGCTTTATAAACCACGTTGGTTATTGCCAAAATTGAACTTTTGACTGGCAGACGAGGATTAGTAGGCAAAAGTTCAAAATATGCTTCCACAAGGTATCACTTTCTGCCTAAAGAACATTTCTTATAATGTGAATCTACTGGTGATATTCAAAATTTGTATATCTGAAAATATCCTTATTCTACCTTCATATTGAAAAGATATTTTTGTGGATATAGAATTCTGGGCTCAAATTTTTTTTGTCTTGTTTTTTAATTTCTGTACTGCAAAGATGTTGTTGCTCCACTTTTCTGGCTTACATTGATTCTGGTAATAAATCTTATGGCATCCTTACCTTTGTTTGTTTGTTTTTTAACATAATGTGTTTTTGTCATTGTTGTTGGCTGTTTTTAAGACTTTTTGTTTGTCACTAACTTTGGGAAGTGGGATTATGTGTCTTACGTAAATTTCCTCAAACTTTGGGTGATTGGCATTTGCTGAGATTCTTTCATCTGTAGGGTTATGATTCTCTTCATTTTGAAATTTTTTTTATTATGGTCTCTTCAAATGTTATTTCTGTCTCTCATTACCACACATTCAGGGTTTCCCAGTACATGTGCATTAGACTGACCGAAGTTTTCCGTAGTCCCTTGCTGCTCTGTTCAATTTCTTAATTCTCTATCCTCTGAGGCTTTATTGCTATATCATTAAATTCTCTTATCATTTACTTGCAGTATCTAATGTGCTGTTAACCCCATCTAATGTGTGTTTTTTTACCACAAATATTATCTTTTCATCTCTTGAGCCTTTTTTTCTCAGATGCAGTAAGTTATGTAGAAACAATTTGGTTCTTTTGGATCTTGCTTTTAAGGTTTTTTTTTGGATGGAACTGAAGATGCTTAATGTAGGACTAATTATCCCCCACTGTAGGATAAGCACTCAATCGTCATGTCGGTTTGAACGGCAAGGCTGGCAACTCACCAGCCACTCCTTGGAAACCCTATAAAGAGGGCTGCTGTGAATTGGAACTGACCTGACATCACTCGTCTGTCAGTTTTTGTACTGTGGTGGCTTGTGTGATGCTGTAATTCTGGAATCTATGTCACTGTGATTTAAATATCAGCAGAGTCACCCATGATTGAAACGTTTCAGTGGAGAGTCCAGAGTAATACAGACTAGGAAAGACAAGCGTATTTATGAATGTTTAGTTGCTGGAAATCTTATGAATAGCAACATAACATTGTCAGATGTAGTGCTGGAAGATGAACCCCTCTGGTTGGAAGGCACTCAAAATATGACTGGGGAAGAGCTACCTCCTCAAAGTAGAGTTGACCGTGATAACATGAATAGAGTAAAACTTTTAGGATCTTCATTTGCTGATGGAGCACAATTCAAAATGAGGAGAAATAGCTGGAAACATCCATTAATAATTGGAACAAGGGATGTACAAAGTATGAGTCCAGGAAGACTGGAAGTTATCAGAAATTGGATTGAATGTATAAAGACTGATATAATGAGAATTAGTGAGCTGAAATGGACTTTACTGGCAATTTTGAATCTGACAATCAAATGCTTTACTATGCTGGGAATGACAAATTAATTAGGATTGGCATTTCATTTATGGTCAAAACCAACATTTCAAGATATATCTTGAAAGGGCTGTTTGATCAGAAGTGTGGTGAGACCTGGGGACTCCTAAGCCCATGGACGAGGATCTATCCACAGAGGGCTAGAGCCAAGAGTGAAGCGTCCAGCTGATACGAAGTGAGGGAAGATGGGAAAGGATG